TTTTTTGTTATTTTTGTTTTTATTTTATTTTTTTATTTATTTTTATTTATATTTATTTTATTATATATATATTTATTTTATCTTTTTATTTAATAAATTTATATTAATATATTTAAATTAATTTTAACTATTTTGAATTAGTTTGAATTATTTTAGATAAATTTAAATTTAATCTAATTTATTATTACATGATATTTTTAAATTCGATATACATAATTAAGTTCGAAACAGTTCGAACTAATTTAAATTCAGTATCATATGATCTTTTAAATTTGATTTACTTTATTAAGTTCGAAATAGTTCGAACTTAATTAAAATCACTTGAATTATTTTTTTATAGTTTTATTAAGTTATTTTAAAATTTTCTAAATGAAAACTCTTTCCGGTTCTTCTCCAGAAATTTGGTAAAAACAAAATTACTATACAAAACTTGCCACTTTTTATACAAAAACAACAAGGTACTTCAGGGGCTAAAGCCCTTACATACAAGAAACATAAGCAAGATAGTATGGAAACATCTAGTATAGATAACCCAGGGTTTGACAGAAAAAATAAAAAAGCAAGAACTTCAGCTACTGAAGAAGAAGAAAATTTAGCTGAAATTTGGGTAACAAGCTATAAAGATGCAGAGAATAAGGAGTTGCTCCAAACAGTAAGCCAGAACTCAGACAATGCAGTTAATATTGCAAGCTGTAGTAGTATGTAGGAAAATATAGCAGAAAACAAAAAAGAAACAGTTGAGAAAACCAAAGTGGCAGAAGAAGAAAACAGCTGGTTTACCCAAACAAATGACATGTTTCAAGACTCGGCAAAACAAACAACACACATGCCTAATAAAGTCAACAACAACAAACACATAAACAACCACGTAAACAACCAATTAAATGAAGCCAATAAACAGACGGAACCCAAACAATGGTCAAGTCTGTTTTCTAAGCTCGAATGAGGCAAAGTGACTTTCTTAACCTACTTTCCAAGAAAGAGAATTCATACTAAAAATAAGATCACACTAATTTTTGAGCTACACAACTTAGAAAACATTTCCACTTCTAATATTGTGGAAGCAATAGCAACTATAATCGGTGAATACCTTATTGCAGCCAAACCAATCTTTACAAGAAACCAAAGATCTCATTTAGAGGTCATCTTTACAGATGAAGAGAAGCAGCAGTTTTATGCAGCAGAAGGCCTTATAATCTTTAAACAAACTCTCCAGAAGTATATTCTAGTAAATATTAAACAAAGCTTTTTATTAGTATAGCTTTGAAATATGCCTATGAACAAAAAGGATTTTATTTCAGAGCAAATCAAAGAAGCCTTTAAAGATATTGGCAATATTTCCTCCATTAAACCATTGGTGTATAAAGGGATATCAGTACTTACAAACCAATGGGTGGTGATTTTTGAAACTACAAATGATCTAGATTTGACAACGAGAATACCTAGGTTTACACATATTTGGGATCAAAAAGTTATAACTGATTGGAAAAAGCCTCAAAAGTGTGCTACTTCTGTGACAAAACAGGCCATATCAAAAAAGAATGTCAAGAATACCAAACATTAGTTTTGTTAAAGAAAATACAAAAAGAAAGAAAGTTGCAAAGAGCATGAGAATTGAAACAAGCACAAAATCAAAGACATTCTTAAATGGCATTGAGTACTGAAAATCCATATAATAAAGAATCAGAGAATGTCATGTTTATTGATACAATAGCAAAAGATTTAAATACAAACAGTATGGTGTTAGATAAAGAGGTTGAAGCAGAAACTCAAACAGAGATGTTAGCAGAAACTTCTAACCCACTTAAAGAAAACGATGTATAAATGCAGGTGACTGCAGTAGCAGAAACCCAAACCTCGTCCAATGCAAAAGCCAAACCAAAAACAGAATCATCCTACATTAAGATGATAATAAAATTAGTTAGAAGAATATAATAAAAAATCCACTAGCATCCTTTTATGCCAAAAATGATAGCACAAAAAGTGAAGTCAACAATACTGATGCAGAAGGGTTATCTCCAAAAGGAAAACCAAAAACCATTCCAGAAAGTCGATTACAGCTACAAACAAATATAGATTGGGGCCATACCCTGGCTCTAAGACAAACAGACCTTAAGTAGTGCTTTTAGCATATACACACCAACTCTAATTCATCTTATAGTTAACAAACTAAAAATCACAACTTTAAATGTTAAAGAATTAAACAATTTAGAAAAAGCATATAAAACACTTACATTATTGAAATCATATCACTTAGATTTAATTATGCTCCAAGAAACTAATTTAGAAAATATTAGTACAAGAAACTTTTTATAGCAACAATGGGGATACAGTTCATATTGGTCCTCTAAAACTACAATCTTAGCTGGGAATCCGAACATTACTTTATCCAACACAAATGAATCACATAATGGCCATATAACCAAAGCAAGCATTATCTACAAACACCAAAAGTTCCATCTTATAATGTATATGCACCTCCAAGTGTGGCAGAAAGAGTTAACTTCTTTAATAGTTGGTCTCCAGAGATAGATGAAAGATGCATAACTATTCTTGCAGGGACTTCAATACAAACCTTAACCCACAGGAAAATAGAATAAGTCAGTCTTCACCAACAAGTGATCCTACAAGAGAATTACTTTCAAATTTAACATCAGAGTATATTGATATCATAGCAGTTACAGCCTGCACAAAGCCTTTTATAACTTATCATTAGAATACACAAGGAGGCCATGTAATGGCTACAAGATTAGATTATATTTTCATTGATGCAAACTACGGGCACCTTTGCAAGAAGACTACAACCTAGTTTGGTAACTTTGATCACTTGCTAGTAGAATATGAACTGCAGTTAAATACAGGAAAACCTAAGGCAAAACAATGGAGATTTGATAAAAACAGCTGGCAAAATCAACTACTCAGAGCAGAAGTAATTGAAGAGGTACAAAGT